TCCTATAAAATATCTCATCATAAACAAAAAAAAAAAAAACCCTTTATTGTTAAGAAAATTAATTTATTGGTTCACACTCAAAATCTTAAACTTTAATTATCCTATCAATAAACAATGTGTATTAATATACATTGCATGTAATATGTTTATCTGTAAATATCTAGTAGTACAACCTTTTAAGTCTATAAAATTCAAAATTGGGCATTAATACTTTATACAGAGTAAATCACCAAGCATGTTCCCTCTTCTAGTTCTTCAAAATTGCAATTATTCAAAATCTGATTTTAAGAATTTTTAAATAAGTGGGTAGGTATTTATCCTTAGAATTAATTTGCAAATTCTCAAATTTCATACATGTTTATATTAGATGGGTACTAAGGAGTATTCTGCATAGTTACTAACTTCTGTTTTTCAAATGACAACCCGTTAACCCCCATTATATACTTACCAACATTTTTTTCTGAAAATGTTGAATATCAAAATGTAATTAGAAAAAATAGTTTTAGAATTAATAAACTTTGTGTATACTGTGAGCACGAACCATAAACATAAGAAAAAAATTAGTTTTAGACAGAGAAATAATCATGTACTTAACATGCACAGACAAACAATATAAAGATAATAAGTATATGACAATAGATTTGAAAGATATGGGGTCTACGATAATTTGAAAACATTAGTGTGTGTTCTAAATATTTCTCACCCTTTTCACAACTATAATTCTATTAGTTGTGACTGCTCGGGCATATTTCTCATGCACCGAGAGTCATGTGGCCGCCTTAAACACTTCTCACAGTCGCCAACCACGGACCGAGGCTCGAGAGCCGGAGTGCCGTGGATTTTTAGTAATTTTAAAAAATAGGATAGTGTGCTTGGACCAGGAACATGGGAGACCGGCAATAAAAGAGCAAACCTCAATTTAGGGAAAAATTATAGATTTTATTATATATTTGTTTTTTTTTTTTAAGTGGGGTGCCGAGAAAGCCCATGGCATAAAAATCGGTCAGAAAAGAAATTGATAAAAATAATAATAATTGACCCATAATAATAATAAAATAATAATAAGAACAATAATAATAATAATAATATCACACATTAAATGCCAGCCGGTTTCGACATAGCGGTTACCGGCGGTTGATATAATATTTAAACCAATATAACACACATTATAATATATATATATATATATATATTGTAACGTCACAGAATTTTAGGCCTCTATTAATATTATTATTCATTGAACACACCTTTCCCCACAATAAATGTACTATCATATTATTATCGGTCTGTGACTATTACTTTAATGGTTTTCCTATTAGTACAATAGCGCGTTGCGATTAAGCGAACAACAAGTAGGTTATGTTATATAACCCCTCTTCAACGTAATGTCCGGCGACTTGGCTCGCAGCTGTGGTTATCTGCGCTGTCGGCGATACGGTCGCGTCCGCTGGTACACGCTGACAAGAAAATCTGAAGCCAGTAATATTGTAAATCCCCGCAAAAAGCGACACTGCACACGTCCCACTCTATCAACATTTCGACAACGGTCACCGGCATGCCGAGCTGTCTGCCGACGTCTCGACACTCTTTTCATGACCACTGACTTAAGTACACGTCCTATTGGTCAAGTCTGCCGATCCGTCTGTCAACTGTCAACGTCAAAAACCACGAGGTCAACATTTTGGTGTTCCTGTTTTTTCTTCTTTCATTGATGTTCACCGACACCATGATGGGCTAAGTCGACTATCTGGGGCCGTGGAGGGCCCGGCGGCTAACATCCACAACCGTTTTCAACGTAACCGGTGTAGATGGGCCGTGTCTACGGTATAAGGTAACGACGGCCCACGTGGCCAGCTCATCGCAGCCACCGGTTACCAACATCTTGAGCCACCAGCAGTCGCCAAGTATTATTTTCCCCCAACTTCCCCTTATTTTTCATTTTGATTATGTATCACCACTGTTTTTTTTTACACTCCTGTTCTCCTCAACGGTGCCCCGAGATAATTAAGTATTATTTTTCCTTTTTTTCATTTTGATTATGTATCACTACAACTTATTTTTTACTTATGCTCCATTTTTCCTAATAGGTGCCCCAGTAACCGTCATGTGGAGCCGTGGGTCTTTTCCTTTAATACATATAAGAGTATAATGTGTCATACCGACGTATGATTATCAATCCGTGCCGGTAACCGCTTGTCAGAGCCGTAGCATTATTTCTTGTATTTTTCTCTATTACTTTCCTAATAATTTTGCCATGTGCCAAATATTATATATTTTTTCCCTTGTGTTTTATGCACTTTGCCATGTGCCAAATCTATATATATAAAAATGGGGACAAAAAATTCGAAATTGCATCAGTTGAGAACGGCTGGGCCGATTTGGCTCAAATTTTTTTTAAATGATAGAGAATGTCGGGGAGCGGGTTTATAGCATAAATTATGGACCTAACTCCTGTGAGTTAGAGATTTAGTGACAAAAACTGAGTTACACCGGTGGTGCCCTCTAGCAGATAAAAATAAAAATATAAATATAATATAAATAATAATACAAATATCGATAATAGCAGGGCTTGAAATCGATTAATATCGATAAAAATCGAAATAAAATATATATTTTTATATTCTGGTTGATATACATTTTTTATTATAGACACTTAGAACTTTAGAGTAAAATAATAATAATAGTTGGCACATTATTCATTTTATTTTGAACCATTATTGTTTTATGTTATTTATGAATTTTTTCAATCAAAAACGACTATTGTGTTTTGGAGAGAATTTTTATGCTTGAATCATGCCTCCTATGAGAAGAACAAACATTGGACGGCGTACACGTAATGCAAGAAACATTAATGAATTTAGACGTGCTCATAACACACATTACATATATATATATAACAATCTTGATTGGATGAGTGGACGGGCAATACTAGCAGCGAGGAATAAGGACGTCGATAGGTTGAATTTTACAATTCAGAGTAAAATTGCTGGAGAACTGCGTTCATACAAATCCGTTGACAGCACGACCGACGAAAACGAAGCGGTCAACTACCCGACAGAATTTTTGAACTCGCTTGATGTGCCAGGAACTCCACCACATAATTTACAGGTAAAAGTGGGATCGATCATRATTATGTTGCGGAATCTRAATCCTCCTAAATTGTGTAATGGTACACGATTGTCCGTCAAGAAACTGATGAACAATGTAATACAATCAACGATCATCAAGGGCAATTTCAAAGGGGAGGAAATCCTTATCCCACGAATTCCGATCATTCCAACAGATCTTCCATTTCAGTTTAAGCGGATTCAGTTTCCCGTTAAATTGGCTTTTGCGATGACAATCAATAAATCGCAAGGCCGATCGTTGGAATTCTGTGGGATCAATTTGGAATTTCCATGTTTTTCGCACGGGCAGCTGTACGTTGCAAGTTCGCGTGTTGGAAAACCGTCATAGTTGTTTATTTTTGCACCAGAAAACAAAACGAAAAACATTGTTTATCAAAATGCAATATATTGATTTCTGTAACAATTCATTACAATGGAATACTTGAATTTTATTATCAATCTAGACTTTATTTGAAGGCGTTAAGTTCACCGGGTCAACTTAATTTAAAAAAAAAAATTTAGGCAAAACAACGTTTGCCCGGGTCAGCTAGTATTATATATTTTCTGCCTGTATTTTATGCACTTTGCCATGTGCCAAATATTATATATTTTCTGAATTGTAATTGCCATGTTCTAATGTTATATTATTTTATTCATGTTGTTTAAAACACAAAATTTACTTATAACCGTGTAAAATATAACCATATGATTACCTTATATTTTGTCACATTTTTTTATTAATATTGTTTTTTACTTTTCCCCCTTTTTAAATAAATCTTTGGAATTCATTTCCCACTACGTGTATAAAAGCCTGCAAGTTCCACCGACTTGGCCTTCGGGTCAACACGCGGTGCGGCCTGCAGGTCACGATGTAAGTGTTCCCCTTACATTGTGGGTGGTATATAGGGCCTTAAAAACTCTATAATCTCACAATATATATAAATAAATACCTAAGTACCAGCCATCGTGAAACCATAATATAATAGTAATCAGAAAAGTAAAACGCTACATTACCAATACTTCGGTCTGCTCAGGTGCCGCCCTTCGGCGCACCAGCGAAAGCGGGGTCTACTCGTCACTCATTTTGTTATGACGGGAAAAAATGAAGTGACGTTCCGTTGCTCTGTCGGCCGATACCAAGCTATGGTTGTTGGCACGAACAGGCGAACGCGACAGAGGGGATCAATGCATAGGTTTAATAATAATATGAGTGGCTGATAATGGGGGTGACATGGTATGGTGATTGTCGGTGTGAGTTGACCTTTGTATTTCTACCTAAATCATGAGTACAAGGAGAGGAGCGTGTGGTGTGGTCATAGAGTAATATAGAGGGGCCGTTCCATATCTCGCGTATACAATTAATTGATGCGTAGTTGGTGTATAAAATACAGATTAACCACTTCATATAAAAAAAATATTGTAACACATGCAGTACAATATATTGTATGGTTGTGATAATACGTTTTTTGTCTTATGATTACAGACTGCCTACTGATGCTACTGCATAGGGATAAATGACAATTGTAATTTAAAATTTTAATGAGAAATAGAAATTGATATTTAATTATTAAGAATAGTTATTATAGTTTCTACTTTTTTCATTTTTTAACTTTATTTTAAAAAATGCCAAGTTGTATGGTTTGTGGGAGATCAGATAATCAAACATCTAAAGCTGCTAACATTTCTTTTCACAGGTATACTTTTTAAACCTACATACAGATCTGTTTTAATATTAATTCTTTAAAATCTGATTAAACATTTAATAAAAATTCATGTTTATTTCAGATTCCCGGCGAAAGAATGTGTGAAAGTGAAATGGAACAATTTTTTACAGGAGAATRCTATAAGCCCGAATAATGTGATTAARACTAGTTTAGTGTGTTCGCTACATTTTGATCATTCATGCTTTATTTTACATAAAAGTCGTAAATTGTTACAAAAACACGCTGTTCCATCTATTATTGTTGGTAGAATAAAGAATGTAAGTATATATTTACGATTCAAATTAACCTAAACAATAAAGTTTATTATTTTTATATAATATAAATTATTTTAGGCGAAACAAATCTACCCTGA